GTAACAAGGTGTTCCCAGGCCAGCTAGATAAAGTGAAGGATAATAGTGAGGGCAGTAAGTTGTTTCACCACCATCAACACACTTCACAATATCACCACCACTCTAATGGTATTGTAGTTAGCTCTGGGTTATGTAGAACTGACCACTGGCACTAGCTCTGGTGCACCATGTATGTAAGGTGTTAGATTCTTATGTTAGTTTCTAGACGGAGGCAGGTAGCTTCCCACAGCCAGGTAATAAGGTGTAGATTCTAATGTTAGTTACTAGATGGATCAGGCGGCTTCCCAAAACACAATAATATCAGTGGTTAAAGCAATAGGAAGGTGTGAAATATAGAACTGGAAACCCAAGTCAGTGTGGAGGTCCAGGTCATTGTGGAGGTCCTGGTCAGTGTGGAGGTACAGGTCAGTGTGGAGGTCCAGGTCAGTGTGGAGGTCCTGGTCAGTGTGGAGGTCCTGGTCAGTGTGGAGGTCCTGGTCAGTGTGTAGGTCCTGGTCAGTTTGGAAGTGCAGGTCAGTGTGGAGGGTGTCAAGGTTCAAGTTCTCTGTACATTCTCTAGATCTGCAATTTCCCCTGCCTTGAAATGGGCCGTTAGTGTACAGCAATATGCCAGACTAGAGAGAACAAGCGATTTTAAGAGAATCGTCATGGGCATGGCATCCCTAGTTTTGAAGGTTCTCATTATCCATCCTATCATTTTCTTAGCAGATGTGACAGAAACATTGTTGTGATCCTTGAAAGTGAGACTGTCTGACATTATCACTTCCAGGTCTTTCACATTAGTTTTTCGTTCTGTTGTGTGGTTGGAATTTATTTCATACTCCGATACTGTTTTAATTTCCTCGAGATTTCCTTATCGGAGTAACTGAAATTTCTCTTCATTGAACTTCATGTTGTTTTCCGCGGCCCATTTCAAGATTTGGTTGATGTCCGATTGGAGTCTTGCAGTATCTTCGCTGATAACACCCTCATGCAAATTCGAGTGTCATCCGCAAAGGAAGACACAGTGCTGTGGCTTACATCTCAGTCTATGTTAGATAAGAGGATAAGGAACAGGATGAGGGCGAGTATAGTGCCTTGTGGAACCAAGCTTTTCACTGTAACCGCCTCAAACATTACTCTGTTTACTGTTACTCCTTATGCTCTATCTGGAAGTTATAGATTCAGCTAACAACTTTTCCTGTTATTTCTTTATCACGAACTTTGTGCGCTATTACACCATGGTCGCACTTGTCGAAGGCTTTCACAAAGTCTATGTGCACTACAGTAGCATTTTGTTTGTCCTCTAGTGCATCTAAGACCTTGTCACGGCGGTCCAGTAATTGAGACAGGCAGGAATGACGTGCTCTAAACCCATGTTGCCCTGGGTTGTGTAACTGATGGGTATCTAGATGGTTGGCTATCTTGCTTCTTACAACCCTTTCAAAGATTTCAATGATATGGGACGTTAGTGCTATCGGTCTGTAATTCTTTGCAATTACTTTACTGCCACATTATGGACTGGGGCTATGTCTGTTGTTTTTAGTGAGTGTGGGATGACCCTTGTCTCCATGCTCTCTCTCCAGGTCAGTGTGGAGGGTGGCCAGGTCAGTGTGGAGGGCAGCTAGGTCAGTGTGGAGGTCCAGGTCAGTGTGGAGGGTGGCCAGGTCAGGTCAGTGTGGAGGGTGGCTAGGTCAGTATGGAGGTCAAGATCATTGTGGAGGGTGGCAAAGTCGGTGTGGAGGTACAGGTCAGTGTGGAAGGTGGCCAGGTCAGTGTGCAGAGTGGCCACGTCAGTGTGGAGAGTGGCCAGGTCAATGTGGAGGGTGGCCAGGTCAGTGTGGAGAGTGGCTAGGTCAGTGGAGGGTGGCTAGGTCACTGTGGAGGGTGGCCAGGTCAGTGTGGAGGGCAGCTAGGTCAGTGTGGAGGTCCAGGTCAGTGTGGAGGGTGGCCAGGTCAGGTCAGTGTGGAGGGTGGCGAGGTCAGGTCAGTGTGGAGGGTGGCCAGGTCAGTTCAGTGTGGAGGATGGCTAAGTTAGTGTGAAGGATCGCTAGATCAGCGTGGAGGTTCAGGTCAGTGCGGAGGGTGGCCAGGTCAGGTTAGTGTGGAGGGTGACCAGGTCAGGTCAGTGGAGGGTGACCAGGTCAGGTCAGTGTGGAGGGTGGCCAAGTCAGGTTAGTGTGGAGGATGACGAGGTCAGGTTAGTGTGGAGGGTGGTCAGTTCAGTGTGGAAGTGGCCAGGTCAGGTTAGTGTGGAGGGTGAAGAGGTCAGGTCAGTGTGGAGGGTGACCAGGTCAAGTCAGTGTGGAGGGTGACCAGGCCAGGTCAGTGTGGAGGGTGGCCAGGTCAGTGTGGAGGGTGGCCAGGTCAGTGTGGAGGGTGGCCAGGTCAGGTCAATGTGGAGGGTGGCCAGGTCAGGTTAGTGTGGAGGGTGGCCAGGTCAGGTCAGTGTGTAGGGTGGCCAGGTCAGGGTAGTGAGGGTGACCAGGTCAGGTCAGTGTGGAGGGTGACCAGGTCAAATCAGTGTGGAGGGTGACCAGGCCAGGTCAGTGTGGAGGGTGGCCAGGTCAGGTCAGTGTGGATGGTGACCAGGTCAGGTCAGTGTGGAGGTTCAGGTCAGTGTGAAGGTCCAGGTCAGTGTGGAGGGTGGCCAGGTCAGGTTAGTGTGGAGGGTGACCAGGTTAGGTAAGTGTGAAGTGACCAGGTCAGGTCAGTGTGGAAGGTGGCTATGTCAGGTCAGTGTGGAGGGTGGCCCGGTCAGGTCAGTGTGGAGGGTGGCCAGGTCAGGTCAGTGTGGAGGGTGACCAGGTCAGGTCAGTGTGGAGGGTGGCCCGGTCAGGTTAGTGTAGAGGGTGACCAGGTCAGGTCAGTGTGGAGGGTGGCCAGGTCAGGTCAGTGTGGAGGGTGGCCATGTCAGGTCAGTGTGGAGAGTGGCCCGGTCAGGTCAGTGTGGAGGGTGGCCAGGTCAGGATAGTGTAGAGGGTGACCAGGGTAGGTCAGTGTGGAGGGTGGCCAGGTCAGGATAGTGTGGAGGGTGACCAGGGTAGGTCAGTGTGGAGGGTGGCCCGGTCAGGTTAGTGTGGAGGGTGGCCAGGTCAGGTTACTGTGGAGGGTGACAGGGTCAGGTCAGTGTGGAGGGTGACCAGGTCAGGTCAGTGTGGAGGGTGACCAGGTAAGGTCAGTGTGGAGGGTGACCAGGTCAGGTTAGTGTGGAGGGTGACCAGGTCAGGTCAGTGTGGAGGGTGACCAGGTCAGGTTAGTGTGGAGGGTGACCAGGCCAGGTTAGTGTGGAGGGTGACCAGGTCAGGTCAGTGTGGAGGGTGGCCAGGTCAAGTCAGTGTGGAGGGTGGCCAGGTCAGGTCAGTGTGGAGGGTGACCAGGTCAGGTCAGTGTGGAGGGTGACCAGGTCAGGTCAGTGTGGAGGGTGGCCAGGCCAGGTCAGTGTGGAGGGTGACCAGGTCAGGTCAGTGCGGAGGGTGACCAGGTCAGGTCAGTGTGGAGGGTGGCCAGGTCAGGATAGTGTGGAGGGTGACCAGGGTAGGTCAGTGTGGAGGGTGGCCCGGTCAGGTTAGTGTGGAGGGTGGCCAGGTTAGGTTACTGTGGAGGGTGACAGGGTCAAGTCAGTGTGGAGGGTGACCAGGTCAGGTCAGTGTGGAGAGTGACCAGGTCAGGTCAGTGAGGAGGGTGACCAGGTCAGGTTAGTGTGGAGGGTGACCAGGTCAGGTCAGTGTGGAGGGTGACCAGGTCAGGTTAGTGTGGAGGGTGAACAGGTCAGGTTAGTGTGGAGGGTGACCAGGTCAGGTCAGTGTGGAGGGTGGCCAGGTCAAGTCAGTGTGGAGGGTGGCCAGGTCAGGTCAGTGTGGAGGGTGACCAGGTCAGGTCAGTGTGGAGGGTGACCAGGTCAGGTCAGTGTGGAGGGTGACCAGGTCAGGTTAGTGGAGGGTTACCAGGTCAGGTCAGTGTGGAGGGTGACCAGGTCAGGTCAGTGTGGTGACCAGGTCAGGTCAGTGTGGAGGGTGACCAGGTCAGGTCAGTGTGGAGGGTGGCCAGGCCAGGTCAGTGTGGAGGGTGACCAGGTCAGGTCAGTGCGGAGGGTGACCAGGTCAGGTCAGTGTGGAGGGTGGCCAGGCCAGGTCAGTGAGTGGAGGGTGACCAGGTCAGGTCAGTGTGGAGGGTGACCAGGTCAGGTCAGTACGGAGGGTGACCAGGTCAGGTCAGTGTGGAGGGTGACCAGGTCAGGTCAGTATGGAGGGTGGTCAGGTCAGTGTGGAGGGTGACTAGGTCAGGTCAGTATGGAGGGCGACCAGGTCAGATCAGTGTGGAGGGTGACCAGGTCAGGTCAGCATGGAGGGTGACCAGGTCAGGTCAGTGCGGAGGGTGACCAGGTCAGGTCAGTGTGGAGGGTGGCCAGGCCAGGTCAGTGTGGAGGGTGACCAGGTCAGGTCAGTGCGGAGGGTGACCAGGTCAGGTCAGTGTGGAGGGTGGCCAGGCCAGGTCAGTGAGTGGAGGGTGACCAGGTCAGGTCAGTGTGGAGGGTGACCAGGTCAGGTCAGTATGGAGGGTGACCAGGTCAGGTCAGTGTGGAGGGTGACCAGGTCAGGTCAGTATGGAGGGCGACCAGGTCAGATCAGTCTGGAGGGTGACCAGGTCAGGTCAGTATGGAGGGTGACCAGGTCAGGTCAGTGTGGAGGGTGACCAGGTCAGGTCAGTATGGAGGGTGAGCAGGTCAGGTCAGTGTGGAGGGTGACCAGGTCAGGTCAGTGCGGAGGGTGACCAGGTCAGGTCAGTGTGGAGGGTGACCAGGTCAGGTGAGTATGGAGGGTGACCAGGTCAGGTCAGTGTGGAGGGTGACCAGGTCAGGTCAGTGTGGAGGGTGACCAGGCCAGGTCAGTGTGGAGGGTGGCCAGGTCAGTGTGGAGGGTGACCAGGTCAGGTCAGTATGGAGGGTGACCAGGTCAGGTCAGTATGGAGGGTGACCAGGTCAGGTCAGTGTGGAACAGGCTGAACACTATGGTGCCTACCTTGATGTGTTGCTGCAGCTGCTTCTCGTGTTGCTCAGCCAGCTGCTGCTGCTGCTGCTGGTACTGGTGTAACAGCAACTGCTGCTGAATCTGCTGCTGTTGTTTGAGCTGTTAAGGACAGTAAGAAATACATTAACTGCCTACATCATGAGAAACACATGCTGAGAATATGTTGATTAAGGCGTCAACACCTGCCACCACCACCACCATCGTGCATACACAACCAGCAACACCTGCCACCACCACCACCATCGTACATACACAACCAGCAAAAACCTGCCACCACCACCACCATCGTGCATACACAACCAGCAACACCTGCCACCACCACCACCATCGTACATACACAACCAGCAACACCTGCCACCACCACCACCATCGTGAATACACAACCAGCAACACCTGGCACCACCACCACCATCGTACATACACAACCAGCAACACCTGCCACCACCACCACCATCGTACATACACAACCAGCAACACCTGCCACCACCACCACCATCGTACATACACAACCAGCAACACCTGCCACCACCACCACCATCGTACATACACAACCAGCAACACCTGCCACCACACCAACATCGTACATACACAACCAGCAACACCTGCCACCACCACCACCATCGTGCATACACAACCAGCAACACCTGCCACCACCACCACCATCGTACATACACAACCAGCAACACCTGCCACCACCACCACCATCGTACATACACAACCAGCAACACTGCCACCCACCACCACCATCGTGCATACACAACCACCAACACCTGCCACCACCACCACCATCGTACATACACAACCACCAACACCTGCCACCACCACCACCATCGTACATACACAACCACCAACACCTGCCACCACCACCACCATCGTACATAAACAACAAGCAACACCTGCCACCACCACCACCATCGTACATACACAACCAGCAGCAACTGCCACCACCACCACCATCGTACATACACAACCAGCAAACACCTACCACCACCATCGTACATACACAACCAGCAGCACCTGCCACCACCCCCACCATCGTACATACACAACCAGCAACACCTGCCACCACCACCACCATCGTACATACACAACCAGTAACACCTGCCACCACCACCACCATCGTACATACACAACCAGCAAACACCTGCCACCACCACCAACATCGTACATACACAACCAGCAACACCTGCCACCACCCACCACATCGTACATACACAACCAGCAAACACCTGCCACCACCACCAACATCGTACATACACAACCAGCAACACCTGCCACCACCACCAACATCGTTCATACACAGCCAGCAACACCTGCCACCACCACCACCATCGTACATACACAACCAGCAACACCTGCCGCCACCACCACCACCATCGTACATACACAACCAGCAACACTGCCACCACCACCACCATCGTGCTTTACACAACCACCAACACCTGCCACCACCACCACCATCGTACATACACAACCACAACACCTGCCACCACCACCACCACCATCGTACATACACAACCAGCAACACCTGCCACCACCACACCATCGTACATACACAACCAGCAACACTGCCACCACCACCACCATCGTGCATACACAACCACCAACACCTGCCACCACCACCAACATCGTACATACACAACCAGCAACACCTGCCACCACCACCACAATCGTACATACACAACCAGCAACACTGCCACCACCACACCATCGTGCATACACAACCACCAACATCGTACATACACAACCAGCAACACCTGCCACCACCACCAACATCGTTCATACACAGCCAGCAACACCTGCCACCACCACCACCATCGTACATACACAACCAGCAACACCTGCCACCACCACCACCATCGTACATACACAACCAGCAACACTGCCACCACCACCACCATCGTACATACACAACCAGCAACACTGCCACCACCACCACCATCGTACATAAACAACAAGCAACACCTGCCACCACCACCACCATCGTACATACACAACCAGCAGCACTGCCACCACCACCACCATCGTACATACACAACCAGCAACACCTGCCACCACCACCACCATCGTACATACACAACCAGCAACACCTGCCACCACCACCACCATCGTACATACACAACCAGCAACACCTGCCACCACCACCACCATCGTACATACACAACAGCAACACCTGCCACCACCACCAACATCGTACATACACAACCAGCAACACCTGCCACCACCACCACCATCGTACATACACAACCAGCAACACCTGCCACCACCACCACCATCGTACACACACAACCAGCAACACCTGCCACCACCACCACCATCGTACATACACAACCAGCAACACCTGCCACCACCACCACCATCGTGCATACACAACCAGCAACACCTGCCACCACCACCAACATCGTACATACACAACCACCAACACCTGCCACCACCACCACCATCGTACATACACAACCACCAACACCTGCCACCACCACCACCATCGTACATACACAACCAGCAACACCTGCCACTCTCAGTAGTAGTAACCAGTTACCAGTAACCAGTGTACCAGTAGTTGACCCCTACCAACCGTCTCTGCCTGAGTCACTGTCTATTCATATTGTGCTGACCTAGCAGTATTCAAAGACCCCCTCACATATGGGTACTGTGGGCGGCCAGTCAGTTTACGAGTGGGAGTTCGAACACGTGGATTGGGTAAAGTAATACTCACGTAGGCTGGTAGTACGTATAATTACAGATAATGTGGGGAACGCCCTTACAGCCGTACCTATCTCTCTTGCTCACTCTCGTAAACTGACTGGCCGCCCACAGTACCCATATGTGAGGGGGTCTTTGAAAACTGCTAGGTCAGCACAATATGAATAGACAGTGACTCAGGCAGAGATGGTTGGTAGGGGTCAACTACTGGTACACTGGTTACTGGTAACTGGTTACTACTGAGACCACCACCACCACCACCATCGTACATAAACAACCAGCAACACCTGCCACCACCACCACCACCATCGTACATACACAACCAGCAACACCTGCCACCACCACCACAATCGTACATACACAACCAGCAAACACTGCCACCACCCCCACCATCGTACATACACAACCAGCAACACCTGCCACCACCACCACCATCGTACATACACAACCAGCAACACCTGCCACCACCACCACCATCGTACATACACAACCAGCAACACCTGCCACCATCACCACCATCGTACATACAAACCAGCAACACCTGCCACCACCACCACCATCGTACATACACAACCAGCAACACTTGCCACCACCACCACAATCGTACATACACAACAGCAAAAACCTGCCACCACCACTACCATCGTTCATACACAAGCAGCAACACCTGCACCACCACCACCACCATCGTTCATAACAACCAGCCAACATCTGCCACCACGCACCATCGTACTATACACAACCAGCAACACCTGCCACCCCCACCACCATCGTCATACACAAGCAGCAACACCTGCCACCACCACCACCATCGTTCATACACAACCAGCAACACTGCCGCCACCACCACCACCATCGTTCATACTCAGCCAGCAACACTGCCACCACCACCACCAAAATCGTTCATACACAACCAGCAACACCTGCACCACCACCACCATCGTTCATAACAACCAGCAACACCTTTCACCACCCCCATCGTACATATAAACCAGCAACACTGCCACCACCACCATCGTTCATACACAACCAGCAAACCTGCCACACCACCACCATCGTACATACACAACCTGCAAACCTGCCACTCACCACCACCACCACATCGTTCATACACAACCAGCAACACCTGCCACCACCACCACCACCACCATCGTTCATACACAACCAGCAACACCTGCCACCACCCCACAATCGTACATACACAACCAGAAAACACCTGCACCACCCTCCATCGTTCATACACAACCAGCAACACCTGCCACCACCACCATCGTTCATACACAACCGGCAACACCTGCACCACCATCCACATCGTACTACACAACCAGCAACACCTGCCGCCACCACCACCACCATCGTACATACACAACCAGCAACACCTGCCACCACCACCACCATCGTACATACACAACCAGCAACACCTGCCACCACACCACCATCGTACATCACAACCAGCAACACCTGCCACCACCACCACCCATCGTTCATACACAACCAGCAACACCTGCCACCACCACCACCATCGTACATACACAACCAGCAACACCTGCACCACCACCACTATCGTTCATACACAACCAGCAACATCTGCCACCAACCCACCATCGTTCAACACAACCAGCAACACCTGCCACCACCACCACCATCGTACATACACAACCAGCAACACCTGCCACACCACCACCATCGTTCATACACAACCAGCAACACCTGCCACCCACCACCCACCATCGTACATACACAACCAGCAACACCTGCCACCACCACCACTATCGTACATACACAACCAGCAACACATTCCACCACCACCACCATCGTTCATAACAACCAGGAACACCTGCCACCACCACCACCATCGTTCATACACAACCAGCAACACCTGCCCCCACCACCATCGTACATACACAACCAGCAACACCTGCCACCACCACCACCATCGTTCATACAAAACCAGCAAACACCTGCCACCACCACCACCATCGTTCATACACAACCAGCAACACCTGCCACCACCACCACCACCACACACCAAACCCTCGTTCATCACACAACCAGCAACACCTGCCACCACCACCACCATCGTACATACACAACCAGCAACACCTGCCACCACCCCCGTCGTTCATACACAACCAGGAACACCTGCCCACCACCACCATCGTTACATACACAACCAGCAAACCTGCCACCACCACCACCATCGTTCATACACAACCAGGAACACCTGCCACCACCACCATCGTTCATACACAACCAGCAAGCACCTGCCACCACCACCACCATCGTACATACACAACCAGCAACACCTGCCACCACCACCACCATCGTACATACACAACCAGCAACACCTGCCACCACTACCACCATCGTTCATACACAACCAGCAACACCTGCCA